CTTTTACTAGGTTGCTTTCTTTCTCTTTCTTTCTTTCTTTCTTTCTTTCTTTCTTTCTTTCTTTCTTTCTTTCTTTCTTTCTTTCTTTCTTTCTTTCTCCACACTTTGGTCTTTCCATCACTTTGGTAGATTCATCTTGATCTCCTCAGTCCATAAGCTTGTCTTCCAGAGCTTTTGCAGCTCATCTCTGTACTTCTTTACAAATGTCAATCTAACCGTCTGATTCTTATTACTGATGAGTTGTTTGCTTCTTTGTGTAAGGCCTCTATATTTCTGCTCTCTGAGCCTTCTTCCACAGTGGAGTGTAATACATTCACCCCTGAACTGTGGAGGTTGTTGGTGATATGTTGCTCAATAAACCAATAGTTTCTTTCTTATTCAGAACTTTCCAAATTGTTGTGCCCAATGTTTGTCCAATGGCTCTGATTGATTTTCCTTTTTTGTCAGCTTCAAAAAGGCAACACCTGGTTACTAAGAAACACCTGCCAATCACATGTTACAATGGTTTTGCTCACTTGAAAAATAGGTGGGTTCAAACTAACAGTGGTATATTCTAAGTTGTTTAATGTAAATACCAGGAAATGAAAGCTGACATTCTGAACTTTTGTCTCATGCTCATCTTTTGATCTTCAACCAAATGAACAACAAAAACAAAGACATTTGACTTGCTGTTCCAGTACTTTTGGAGGAGACTGTAGATCTGGACTGAAGAACTTTTGATACTAATTTAACATTTTATAGTTCTGTCTGAGATTTGAAGGTCTATATTGAACTGTTATTGTTTTTTTCTGTAGCGGATCCTCGTGTTAGTGAGAACGTTTCAGGTAAATTACCACCAAACTGTTTTCCACTCTGTAGCACCAATAAAGTTTGATCAAACTACAAAGAGACTGATTTTTTTCATAGGAAAAGATGCCATCTGGACCCAGTTCCCCTTTAAGACTGACTCATACTCGGACTGCCATGGCAAGCAGTATGTCAAACGAACCTGGTACCGCAAGTTTGTTGGTGTCCAGTTGTGCAACTCGCTGAGGTACAAGATCTACCTGAGTGACTCGCTCAATGGTGAGTAAAACCTGTGCTGGGTGGACTGGGCTCACAGTCCACTTGGTTCTGATTCTCACCTGATTCACATTTACTTTTACCCTGTAGGGAACTTCTACAATATTGGAGATCAGAGTGGCTTTGGTGAGGACCACTGTCAGTTTGTGGATTCATTTCTGGATGGACGAACAGGCCGGCAGCTCAGATCCTACCAGCTCCCTTCCAGAACTGGTACATGTTCAGTGTTCACATTCTTTAACTAAATGGTTTTGAAGAAATGTTAAGGTTCTCTAGGTAGTCTGCACAAAGTATGCAGATCAAGTTAGATTGTAAAAAAATACGCACACTAGGGTTGGGCAATATTGGGAAAAAAATTAATCATGATTAATTGTGGTATTTAGCCGATAACGATTAATTTGACGATTAATCTCCTGGAGTCCCTTATATCCTAGTCACATGACCAATTTAGTGGAAAAGATTTGCTCTTCATAAAAATCTGTTCCAGATCGTGTCAAAATTACAGACTTCAGGCACAATTGTAAATTGTGTTGATAGATAAATTACAGAACTTTTTTTTAATATTCATCATTTTTGAAGCAGAGAGGAGCAACGGGCGGACTCTGCCTGGTGACATTAATCGTATTAATCCTCAAGTGCCAAAAAGTAATCGATTAATGTTTTTCTGACAATTAATTGCACACGATACGATTATGCCCAACCCTAACGGACACAAATATAAACCTGTAGAAGGGCTGAGTCAGAGTTCTGACACTAAAAATGCTTCAGTGCTTTTCCTGGTTAGGCAGATAAATCTTCTAGGATCAAGCCCGTAGTAAGGATTTACTTTCTGGAAACCACAAGCCTTTGAAGACTGTTTCTGATCAAGTTCTTCAGTGGTTTTAGAGTCAGTCTAATAAATACTAAACACTCAGAAATAAAGCAGCTGGAAACCAACATTTGTGTTGAGTCTTTAAATTTACATTCTTTTTCTTTCTGTTCCAGGATACTACAGAGCTCTGCGCCAGGAGCCGGTCCATTTTGGACAGATAGGAGGACATTCCCACGTCAATTATGTTTCCTGGTATGAGTGTGGAACGCCCATCCCAGGGAAATGGTAGACAGTCTCAGCTCCATGGTCACTTTTCTAAATGAAGAGGCTCATCACCTCAGCTGGGACGTGCAAGGGTTTAAAATCCTCCTCAGACCAGATCTGTTTCATCGCTTGGTGCTGTAAGAAGATGATGTACAGGACTTCCTGGTCAGGGAATCGTATCAGATCAAGGAGAGAGATGATTTTTGTTTTTTTCATTATAGCAGACGTTCCTCATCTTTACTATTTATCGAACAGAAACGCTACAGAGACGTTAGATCAGAAACCAACATGAGCGTTCCATTAACTCATGGTAAATATTTTTATTTTTTCTTCAAAATGATGGGAAGCTGGCTCCCTGGATTACTATTTTCATAACTTGTGAGATTTTATTTATCAGAAGGCATTGATCCATTCTTTCAGGTGGGAGGATGTATTTTTCTTTGATCTAAAAGGAAACTTTTCAGTAACATGAGCAGTCTATTAATGTCTGCAGCGTTCTGCTAAACTCCGCATCATCCCGGTGCTTTTAGCTTGTTTAACCTGAAAACGTTTGTGTTTGATGGAACACAAAGGTTCGCTGGGAGCTCCTCTAAGTCCTGCAGAAATGTACTTATGTGTATATGGAGAAAATGTTGTTTTTTTTCACTTCATTTTTGCAGATGTCGTTCTCCCTCTGTGGCCTTTTTCTTCTTCATGCTACAACAGGACAGGATCACACAGACTCCTACAAAGCCCCAAATAGCCACATGTTGTAATTTCCATAACAATGTTTTGTGTATTTAAACAGAAAAAGAGGTAAGCTGACCTGTGAGCAAGTAGTTTGGATGACATCCTAAAGAAGAATTTAGATGCCAGCTGGTTAGTTTGGCAACTTTAGTGGGCTTAATTTCAATGTTTTTATCTTATGGTTGAAAGAAAACTAAAACTTCATACGAACCATGAAAGTGGGTAAAAAATATCACATCATAGCTGTTTCATTTCTACTCTATTGAAGGGGGAAGTAAACAACAGTAAACAGTGAAACTGATGCAAATTGTTTACATTAATGGGGCATAAAACTTATAAAAAAGGGAAATGTGTAAAATGTTAATAAAACATGGGTGCTAATGTGCAAATCTCAGAACATCCATATTTTATTCACAATGGAAAATGGTAAATGTATCAAATGTTTAAAATGATAATTTCTAAAAAATTTTGGGGGAAAAATTTAACAACAGCAAAACATTTGTCAAATTTGACCCAGGAGCAAAAAAAACGTTTGCATTTTGCCTCAATTCATGATAAATGAGCTTTGGGCGAAAAGATAGCATCATTTCCAAAAAAAAAGAAAAAAGTTCACATTATAGCTTCTCCTTTGCATGATAGAGCTTTAACCAGCATCAGTGGATATTCTATATTTTAATGATATGAACTGTAGATGATGGGTATTTAAAGTCTTCCCGGTTTTCTATTTGATGAACATTATTCTGAACTTGCTCCAGTTTGTAGACAGTTTTTTCTCAGGCTGGTGATCCCTGCCCTTTGTGCTTCTAAACCGCTCTTTTTATACCACCTACCCAGTCCTTTTACTGACTCACTGCCAATTCACTTTTTTTAATGTTGTTTTTAATGTAATTTCTTGTTACTATTTACAGATGTGTGTGAGCGTGTGTATGACTGAATAAAGTAAAGCATCTTTACATGGGCATAATTTGCAGGGGGGGTTCAGGGGGTTATGACCCCCACAATAATTTGATCCAGTCAATATACCCCCTCCCCCAATAAAATTCCATAATCTGCTGTAACACAATAGAGATGAACTGGTTAAGGACACAGCTGCAACTCTCTTGTTGTATTTAAGTAACTTTCACATGATTTCAAATTTTACAGAGTTATATATGTTTGTTTAAGCATATTTTTTGAAAATGCAGGATTTTAGTCTGCTCGTCACAGTATGGCGGTGTTTGTTGAATCTGTTGTAATTTTTCCTAGCCAAATTGTAGTGCACCAGGTGAACACAAACTACTCTTGGAAAATTGAGAAATGAGCTATGTCCTAAAATGCATCCTAAAAATGTAAAGTATTTGCTAAAACAGGAAAATTAGGTAAATCACGATAGAAGCATTGCAACATGTTTTAGCCCCAAAATATCCTGAACGATTTTACAAAATTAAATGATTCAATAAACAAATAAATAGTTGGGGTGTACCACCCACCCCCCCATGGCAACTCTAAAGCTACGACCAAGAAAAAAAAAAAA